GAGAGACAGACGTCACATAGCTTTGTATTCTGAGTCACTGACAAAATAGGTGTTCAACAAATATTTGCTGATGGGGCCAGCCCGGTGGCTCAGCAGTTAAGTTCGCACGTTCTGTTTCAGTGGCCCGGGGTTTGCCGGTTCAGATCTCAAGTGCGGACATGGCACTGCTTGGCAAGCCATGCTGTGGTAGGCGTCCCACATATCAAGTAGAGGAAGATGGGCATGGATGTTAGCTCAGGGCCAGGCTTCCTCAGCAAAAAGAGGAGGATTGGTGGCAGATGTTAACTCAGGGATAATCTTCCTCAAATAAATAAATATTTGCTGAATAAGTGAAACATTCTGAATAATTTTTAACTGAGTAATTCTCCTCTGAGACCATAATCAAAACACAGAACTCCCTTCCACTTCCCTTTAAGTAATATTTGTTCCACGAAACCAACAGCACCTGAAATTCCACTTCTGGCAGACAGTATGTCTTGTAAAGAGAGCTGTTAGACCTATATTTGAACACCATTTCTGCCAGTTATTAGCTGTATGATATGCTGAGCAGGTTACTTAACCCTCATCTATAAAATGGGGATAACACCACATACTTAATAGGAATGTTGTAAGGATCAGAAGTACACAGGAAATTGGGGCCGGCCCGGTAGTTAAGTTTGCACATTCGGCTTTGGCAGCCTGGGGTTCACCAGTTCAGATTCTGGGTGCGGACCTACACACTGCTTGTCACGCCATGCTGTGGCAGGCGTCCCACATATAAAGTAGAGGAAGATGGGCATGGATGTTAGCTCAGGGCCAGTCTTCCTCAGCAAAAAGAGGAGGATTAGCAGCAGATTTTAGCTCAGGGCTAATCTTCCTCAAAAAAAAGAGAAGTACACAGGAAATCTTTACTTTACAGGGTTCTAATATGCACAAATTTCTGCTACCACAGTTTAGTTAAATAATATCAATCCCCCAACAACACAATTCAAATTTCAGTTACCACAGTACACTAACTCTAACTGCATACAGTACAAACTGCACTACTAGATCTTCAGTCCCCACATTACTAGATAAATAACTGAAGCACAGCATGACCAGCGACTAACCAAGTCACTTCTTTCCAAGTCGGTTGGTGGATTTAACAAAATAAACTGCAAAAGAATAATAATTAGGCTGTTGGTGGACTTCTCATCAGCAGCAATAAGTCAGGAGACAATGGAATAATATCTTCACAGAGCTGGGGGAAAAATAACTCTCTACATAAATGTCTAACTATGGATAAAACATCAAGGCAAAGTCTGTTGGGGATTAGTCAACGCACATCCGTTGTTCAGTTCACATACAGACAACAAAACCTATAGTTGAGCTGCTTCCTTGCCTTGTGGTGATGAACATATGCGGCATTTTACATAAATGAATAACCGAAAGAGGGAACTGACCAACAATGATGAAAGTGCAGCAAAGAAACAAATAGTGATAATGTTGGAAGTGAAATTCCAATCAAACATAAACGGAGTTATAGAAGAAACAGCTGACCATGACAATGACTCTGCTGCCATTCGAGACTCTAGAAATCCAGCCAGAGGAATTTAGTGAAGGCAAGCTTATCAACATAAACAAAGAAAGTGGTTGTGAGAAAAGGATGGAGATGGACCAGAATAAGCGAGCCAGCAAAAAACTGTGCATTAAAGGAACTCTCGGAGATATTTCACAATATTGAAAGTGCAAAGAATAAAATGTTGGGAGGTGATTCAAACTTAGAAAGGAGTATAAAAATTCACCAAGGGAAAGAAAAACTACCGATTCCCTATCATAAATTATATGACAAGAAGAAGGCAAGCACTGTTCAAACTACTCTTGAGAAGTTCTTTTACAAAGAAATAAAACATTTTAATTTTGTTTTTAATGTTTTAAATTAGTGTACTAAATAAATATTAGTTTTACTATTTTTTTCATTTCTCTTTATATTCATAATCAACAAAAAGGGTTTGCAATGATTGAGAAAAATGTTTAAAGGTCACAGAACAATTGCACCTTTTCTCATCGATGATTATGATCGCTCTGCCAGGTTCTAACTTGTGCGGTCACTTGTACTATCCCACACTAACATGAAAAATGAGCACCGCCTGCACTGCAACTTCTGCCACAGCAAGGCGCTCCTCCCACAACTAAAGAGAAACCCTCGACCTTTTCCCCTGGTCCTTACAATCTGCTCAAACAAAAAAGGAATTTGAACCGATCTTGAGTGATGTCAAGAAGATAGCTTCTCAGGTTTTCAGTGACTGAGAACCGTTGCCATATCTGAAAACGCTATTCCCCAAACTCGTCTTTATGTTACCCAAAATACACACATCCTAATGCTAAAAGGCAGGCTTCTTAAACAGTTCTTCAGCTTCTCCCTTGCGATAGTACTATACTCTTTTCTGCTTGTCCTCATCCCTTGCATGCAGGGGCAAAACAATGAATGTGTGATAGAAGTCATATGGTATAGTAGCTTTAGAGTCAGACTTCAACTTGAATACTACCTCTCCACCACTTTCTGCAACCTTACAGAAGTTACTTCTTAGAGCTTCAATTTCTTAATCTGTGAAATGAGGATAATAATACTTTCTTTTTGGAATTATGGTAAATATCGAAAGTGATAAGATATATAAAGTGCTTAGCAAAGTATGGTACATAGTTAAGTAAGCACTTAGATATAGTTGTTATCGCTGTTATCATTATATTTAATATTTCAATCATCAATGTAAAGATTATAAAGATGATAAAGTTGCATTTATTTTAAACACATCATTATTAATCAGCATATTTTTCAAAAACAAGTTCTCTTACTCCAAGATATGATAGATACCCACCACTTGCTGGGTAAGAAGACTTGACCTCACCTTCCTCCGGATCATTTTCTCCCAAGGTCCATGTGCAAAGGGCTGCCAACATTCATTCATCCTCTTCTTGCAACCCCTGATTCCTATGTCAAAACCCCCCCTGCATCTGCTCGGAGTTTCCTCTTCTGAGGACATTAAGACTGAAGCCATTTCCCATTTCTCAGAGCTATCTGCCAGAACAGTAGTATCTTGCTCTCTCATAGCTCACATGACTTAACTGGCAGTTTTCTCTTTTGATTCTAATCCTCGGTTCTAAACTAAGAGTCATTATTACCTATATCAACCCATAAAGTTGCAAAGGACCTGAAGGCCAACTAAAGCCAACCCCTTGTCTCTACTAAACAGTTAATTCCCCCTAAAATATTCATGAGTTAGTTGAGCAACACCTGTTTTATCGCTTTCAGCGACAGAAAGCCCTTGACCTCTCAAGTCAATCTATTCCATGATGATATCTTTAGCTAAAAAGTTTCCTTATGTTGAAGCAAAATCTCTCCCCTTACAGTTGGCTTCCAGCCACAGGCTATAATTCTACATTCTAGAGAAACACAGAAAGTTTAACAGCTCGATATGACAGCCCATCCAATATTTGAAGACCCTTGAGTTTCTCTTTCCCATGTCACACATTTCCAGCTCAGATGGCATGATGTTAAGTCCCTTCCCTCCTGGACCTCCTCTGGACCAGGTATGGGCTTGCCAACACGATCTAATAAAAAATGGTAAAGCGCTTCCTTTGCCAACATTTGGGCTGCCAAGTAACGATACTATAAATGATCCCTTTGCCCATAGTCTCCCGCTATTACGTAAAAATTATTCATTTAAACTAGTAGTTCAGAAAAAGTGACAGTCTGTCACGGTTTAAAGAGAATGGTACTAAAGTCTTGAAAACTACAAAAAGGGTTCTGTTTTCCTTTTTTTTTTTTAACTGAGCCAATAACTATGAACAGAATAAAGTAGCATCAGCTGGCATGAAACGCCTGCCTTTCTCCTGCAAAGCCAAACGCTCGCCTGGGAGAAGGACCCAACAATGGGAAGGTTAGCTAAAAAGAGTTTTGCTTCACGTCCTGAGAAAGTGGATCCAATTAAAAGAAGGCCGTAATAGTTAGCCAAAAAATATCCTCTGTACCTTGCCAGAAGCTGGGACCTGAAGAAGGATCAAACATTGTGCTCTCCAAACTTGACCAAAGTAAACTACACAAAAAGAAATGGCAGATTTTTCCGGTGCTCTCCTAGCCTGGCAGGAAGGATCACCCGGATAAATACACACACACAAAGCCTAGGGGGCCAGCGGTGCCTGTCAGGGGCAGCAGCTGGAGGAGGACTCGTCCCAGGGTCCTCAGAAGGTGCAATCAGTGGCAGCAGTGTCCTCAAAGAACCCTAACCCTTAGGTAGTCGGATAGGAGGCAGAGTGGAGCAGGGACTTACTCCCTTGCGCTCTTGGGAGCCTGGCAAGAGCAAGAAGGTACAGACTAAGGTCCTCTGCCTTCTACTTGTGCTGCAAGGAGATGGCTGAATGAACAGTCGTACTCGGAGAGTAGATGAGCCCTCGCACTTGAAGACAGCCCGGGCGGGAGCGGGGTGGGGGCTGGGGGTCAGGATCTCAGCCTGGGAAAACCGTTCCCTGCAGGCGACCGAAGAGGTCTAATAGGAACAGAAAAAGAGGAAGGGAAAGACCCCTCACGTACTAGGGGCAAGAATAAGCTGGGAACTGTTCCCTTCTCCCGTGCCCTTAGGGCGAAGGTGGTGGCAGCGACACCAGGAGCAGGTGTCCCGGGCCCTCATTCAAAGGAGCCGAGTCCTCCCCTCTCCCAATCGCTTCTCGGGCTGCCCCAGCCTGCCGCCGCCCCGCGCGACCCGGCCCCTCGGACTCCCCTGAGGGCTGGCGGGGGCTCCCCGCTTCTCTTCTGCCCCCATCTCAGAGGCCCCCCAACCCGTCCCGACCCCGGCACTCCTCACCGGACGCGGGGTGCCCCGTCTGCTCCCCTCCTCCGCAGTGCCGGCGTCCCTGCCCGCCGGCCGGGCCCCCTCCGCCTCCCGGCCAGGCCTGCCGCCTCCCCCGGCGGCCCCCTCACCCCGGCGCCCTCTCTGCCTCCCTCCCCCTCAGGCCGGGGCCCCGGCGCCAGCAGCCGCACTCACAGAACTCGGCGATGTACCAGGTCACCGCGTAGTTCTCCTCGCACCAGTCCAGCGTGGAGGTCGTGGGGCCCCAGTAGCCCTCGCGGTCCCCGGCCGGAGCCATCGCGCGCGCCGCCGCCGCCCAAGCGCTCCGCTCGCTGAGCTCGGCTCCGCGGGCCCCCAGGCCGGCTCCGGCCCTGCTTCAGCCGCCGCCGCGCGCCCCACCCGCCTCCCCCCGCGAGGGGCGGGGCCGGCGCCGCCACAGACCCAGCCCGGCGGAGGCCCCGCCCACCGGCGCCGGTCCCGCCCACCGGCGCCGGCCCCGCCCCCCTCCCCCAGGAAGGCTGGCGATCCGGGAAGGCTGGCGGCGGTGATCGGCGCTGCCTGCCCCGCCCAGACACGCCCGCGGCTGCAGATTCGGGGTTCCTGATATCCCGGAGGCTGTTTTCTGTCAGGATGTGTCTACGTCTGTATCTGTGTGTGTGGTTTCATTTTATCGGGCCTGGGGTGGCGTCAAGCCTTCAGTCAAGCCCTGGCTTGGTAAGACCTGTGCAGAGATGCACCTCATTCACTTCCTTTGGCTGCAGGCCTCAAATGGAGCCCAGACACACAACACTCCCAGCACCCGGAACTCCCAGGAGAAAAACAGTGATTTTCTGATACAGGGATAAGTACATGTCTCTTGGGAACAGAGGGAAAGAGCAACAACCCTGGATCGGAAAAAAAAAAAAAGAGTTTTGCGATCCTAAAAAAGAATGCAGCTGGAGCGCTAAAGCAGAGTTGGCCTGCTTCAGTTTGGACTTTCAACCCTAGAGGTTTCTACCCTCTAACTGAAATGGTGCCCTGCTCTCAGACAACCAGCAGCCTCCCCTACTTCCAGCCTCAAGACTCTAATACTCCACAGAGTTGCCCCAGGGATCTTTTTACAACACAAGTGCACCCACCCCTGCCACTTGTGTTCAGCTCTGCCAAACTCTTCCCTAGCTCAGGTTGAGCTGGGGCCACTCCCCTCTTCCTGCCTTTCTTCGTGGGGTTCACCTAGGATCACCTTCCTCCCTGGCCATTTGGTAAACTCCCACTGGCCCTTTAAATCCAGCTTCCTGAAACCCTCCCTGACTCTCACCCCAAGATCCTTCTTGCCCTTTGTCACATTATCCTGTGACACAACCTGATCAGAAAGCTTGCTTTTCACTCTTTATGGTTCTAGCACCCAGGACTCTGCCTAACCAAGTAGTTTGAAATGAAGAGTTTAGTTAAGAATGATACAATTGCTATTTTCTAAAGAAATATGTCAGATAAGTTGTAATCAAAGGTAAAAAAGAAAACAAGGAGACATGAGGAGCCCACAGCCCCTCTCCAAAGTGAGCCAGCCTAGCAGGTGATAGATGCAGAACCTTTATCTTCAGGGTGCAAACCCTAGGAGTAGAAGTGGTGTATTTTAATAGAAATAGTGGGATATCTGAAATGGTTCTTTTGAACAGAAGATATTAAGCTTCAGGGGTATACCTGGCCCTTGGCTGGGTGCTAGAAACACGTGGAGGTACATGGAAGATCCAAGAGGGCAGTCAGTCTCCAGAGAGATCAATAAAAGCCATTGAGGTGTGGGGAAACTTCTGTTTCTAGTCATTTTTTATCTCATCCTCTAAAATTTCCATTTTGTGTATGTTTTAAATATGTATAATAATCATAAGTGTATATAATTTATAAATGAAAAAATATACATATATTCACATACTCAAAAAGCATATGCAGAAATACATACTCAAAAATTATTTGCTGATGAGATTGCAATGAAAACAGTGTAGAGGGGGCTAGCCTGAGGCCTGGTGGTTAAGTTTGGTGTGCTCTGCTTGAGCAGCCTGGGTTCAGTTCCCGGGCACAGACCTACACCACTGGTCAGCAGCCATGCTGTGGTGGTGACCCACATACAAAATAGAGGAAGACTGGCACAGATGTTAGCTCAGGGTGAATCTTCCTCAGCAAAAAGTAAATTAATAAATTAAATAAATTTTTAAGAAACAGTGTAGAGACCACAATAATAGAGTGTAGTAATACTTTGCTAGGAGTAAACCCAAAATGAGAATGTTGTGGGATCCTCTAAATGGAAAGAACACCTGACTCACCAGGTGACTCAAGGCAGGAGATGAGGGCTTGACTAAATCAACACCCTGCACATTGTTCATCAACAGCAGGTGCGGGGGTGGGGGTGGGGACTACCATGACCAGGACAAAATCTAGGAGAGAAAAATTCCCCTACTCAAGAGAAACGGTGCTCTACAGTAGTATCTCAGAAAACGCAAAACGCATTTCACGGTTCCTTCAGCGATAGATATGTATCTCCCTTTCTCCCTTTTCTAAAATACTTTTCCCCCCGGGTATAAAAGCAATGCATGGAAATTTAAGGGACCCGGAATAACCAAAACTATCTTGAAAAATAAGAACAAAGTTGGAGGATTTGCACTTACCCCTTTCAACACTTACTACAAAGCTGCACTAATCAAGGCAGTTGGTACCAACATAAGGATAAACATGTAGCTCAATGGAATAGACTTGAGGCTCCAGAAATAAACCCTTATGTTTACAGTTGGTTGATTTCAACAAGGATGCCCAGGCACTTCAATAAGGAAAGAATAATCTTTTCAACAAATGGTGCTGGGACAACTGGATGTCCACATGTAAAAGAATGAAATTACATTCCTTCCTGCCACAATAAGCAAAATTTAACTGAAAATGAATGTAAAAGCTAAAACTATAAAACTCTTAGAAGTTTACATAAAAGTAAATTTTTGTAAACTTGGGTTAGGCGATGGTGTCTTATATAAAATAGGAAAGTCACAAGCAATAAAAGAATAGAGAGATAAATTGGACTTCATCAAAATTAAAAACTTTTTTATTGCAAATGATACCATCAAGAAAATGAAAAGACAACCCAGAAAACGGGAGAAAATATTTGCAAACCATGTATCTGATAAGAGACTTGTATTCAGAATATATAAAGAACTCTTACAACTCAATAAAAACACAAATAACACAATTTAAAAATGGGCAAAGCATCTGAATTGACATTTCTCCAAGGAAGATATACAAATGGCCAAAAAACACATGAAAAAATGTTCCTGCTTGCCATTAGAGAAATGCAAATCAAAACCACAACAAGATGTCACTTCATATATGGTAGGAAAGCTATAGTCAAAAAGACAGAGCTGGCCCGGTGGCCCAGTGGTTAAGCTCACACGTTCTGCTTCTCGGCGGCCCAGGTTCGCCAGTTCGGATCCTGGGTGCAGACATGGCACCGCTTGGCAAAAGCCATGCTGTGGTAGGCGTCCCACATATAAAGTGGAGGAAGATGTGCATGGATGTTAGCCCAGGGCCAGTCTTCCTCAGCAAAAAGAGGCAGATTGGCAGCAGAGCTCAGGGCTAATCTTCCTAAAAAAAAAAAGTCACCTGAAATTTCATCACTCGATAGTAACCACTGATAATATTTTGTTGTATAACTGGCCAAACATTTTTCTCTATGTGTATGTTTAACAATATGTGCAGAGTTTAAAAATACAGATCGTTCTGGAGCTTCCTGTTTTCACTTACAATATGTGATAAGCATTAAAGAATAAATGTTTTCTATTATTTTCTATTTTTTTATTTTTTTTTCTTCTTTTTCTCCCCAAATCCCCCCAGTACATAGTTGTATATTTTAGTTGTGAGTCCTTCTGCTTGTGGCATATGGGATGCTACCTCAACATGGCCTGACGGGGACGAGCAGTGCCATGTCTGTGCCCGGGATCTGAACCAGCAAAACCCTGGGCCGCCGAAGTGCAGCACGCCAACTTAACCACTGGGCCACTGGGCTGGCCCCAAGAATAAATGTTTTATGTACCAACTGATGCTTATGATTCTAGAAACATCATTAGAGTAACCATCACTCCCAATTCCAGACTTTGAGCCACAATTGCCGTCTCTCTAGCTGGACCCCAGGCCCCACTCTTCAGGCAGAGTTAATGCTTCCTTCTCCTTGCTCCCTGGCCCCCTCTGCATTTCCCACACTTGGCCTCACTGTCTGTTGACTAGTTTGTATTCACAAGGCAGCTATGAGTTCCTGGAGAGAAAGGATCATCTATATTCATCTCTGTGTTCCTAGTGCCCAACACTGGGCCTAACGTGTGAGCAAATCCGTAGATATTTCTCAGATTAAGTAACAAATCCACTTTTATGAAGCGGCTGACGGTATCAGCTCTGGAACGTGGCCAATATGACCTTGTATCCCAAACTCACCTCCTAATAAGCTGGGATTTTGGTCCTGTTAACCTCTCTAAGCTTCAACTTCCCCATCTATAAAATGGGGAAGCAGCAGTACCCACTTCATGTGTGGATTAAATGAAAAAATAGTTGCAAAATACAGTGCCTGGGAAATGGAATGAGATCAATACATCTCATGGTATTGTGGTATTCTCACTACTTTGAGGGGAGGAGAAAGCCTCCTTGGTGAAGCACAGGAAATCATACTGTCCACCAGGCAGAGGGGAGGCGGTGGGGAACATTTGGGCCCTATTATCCCATAGACCTGTTTTCTTTTCTTTTTCTTTTTTTTCTGAGGAAGATTAGCCCTGAGCTAACTACTGCCAATCCTCCTCTTTTTTTCCTGAGGAAGACTGGCCCTGAGCTAACATCCACGCCCATCTTCCTCTACTTTATACGTGGGACGCCTACCACAGCATGGCTTTTGCCAAGCAGTGCCATGTCCGCACCCAGGATCCAAACCGGCGAACCCAGGCCGCTGAGAAGCAAAACGTGCGAACTTAACCGCTGCACCACCAGCCTGGCCCCCCATAAACCTGTTTTCTAAACTACGATTAAACTTGGATTACAGAGAAGGAAAAATCAGTTTCATACTCCTTGGGATAATGAAGCTTCCTCGGCCCCTGGTCTCCCAACATTTCCCCATGAAGCCCTCTCTCTAGTACCTTAGCCACAAGCCATCCACTGCTGTGTCTCCTGCACTATTCTAAGGAACAGAGGAGGACAAAACAGACACATTTCAAGGATCAAAATGAAATGTAACAGACAATAACACTTGTATCAAATCCACTCTGTTCCTAACACTGTTTTGGGTACTCTTCAGTATTACCTTTTCAAATCTCTCTAACAACCTTATGAATGAGGGCTACCTTTAGCCTTCATTCACGGATGACAAAACTGACACAGTAAGATTAAATATTTCATCCAAG